AAAAAAAAAAAAAAAAACTCATACATTAACTTTTTTTTTTAAAAGAAAAATAACACATGTTCCATAGGTTTGTCATCACTTGTCTAGGTTTTGCCAACTATCCTAAGATGCCGATCAAGGAGAGGAACAGTGGCAAAGGTAAGAAAGGAAATTTAATCAGTATAGCTGTACTGGGAAAACAAGGGAACCAGCAGCCTCATTCTTGTCTTTGCAGATACAGTACTGACAAGAACTTTACATTTAATTAGGGAAAGACTAGAATGAGGTTGCCATGAAGCATGCACATAGTTGAAGAGTCTTGGTCAGACAGTGATTTAGTTGATGATTATCTCAGGACTAGTTCAAAAGTGCCATCACAATCTGGAAGGGACAATCTGGGTCTCTTGTGGAACAGTAGCTCTGGCTTAGTGAGTGAGGTGGGTCTTGGTTCTCCTCAGGGAGTATAACTGCTCCCTGAATCAAGTAATTGCTTTCACTTGGAAGGGCAGTCTCATTATGGCGTGACTTGCCTGTAATAAGGAACAGGCTCTACTGTTCTTCAAAGGTTTAGGCCAATCACCAGAGACTTCTAGGTTGTGCTGGGGGCATATGAGGATAGTTGGGGCTTCAACAAGATGTTGTAAAAGTTGGCAGGTGAAGACCTTAGTTAACTCTTCTATTGGTGTCTTCAGTTTTAAAGAGGGGAGACTAACAGCTTTAGATAAACAATCTTTAAAGGATTTATTTGCCTGCCTATATGCAGAGTTGAACAATAGTCTGACTCAAAGTTTAAGGTAAAAAAGGCAACACAAAATGAAGGAAAACCAAGGTTTTATACTGTTTTTTACCCATCCGACACTTATAGGTCTACATAAAGAATTGTTTTAGCGCTGGGCGTGGTGGCGCATGCCTGTAATCCCAGCACTCAGGAGGGTGAGGCAAGAGGATCGCAGTGAGTTCGAGACCAGCCATAGCTACCTAGTGAGTTCCAGGTCAGTCTCGACTACATAGTGAGACCCTGTCTCAAAAAAACAAAAAATGAAACAAAGAATTGTTTTAGCAAAAGCACCTTCTAAGTCCTTGTTACACTATTAGCTATGAATCCTCTTCCTTTTTACAAGAAATCAAGCTTTGCACATAAAGCTGAACCTCTCTGTAATAATAACTCATCTTAGGAGGCCTCTTTCAAAATGCATTCATGTACTAGAAGAGAAAAAGCAAAATCTAGAAATTAAAACAAGAAATGCATTAATGAATTTCAAAGGGATTATTCAGATCTTGCTAGTGATAAAAATGCTCGCTACTGCCTTATCTCTGAGTAGAACATAGTTTTAAAAATAGAACAGTCAGGGGGTGAAGGGAGGGCAGGGACAAGGGGAAAAAATGAGAACCAAGACGTGTCGTGTAAAGGTACAAGATCCCAGTAATGAATGTAACTGTACTGTATAACTAGAATGTACCAATAAACTAAATAAAAAGGAAAAATAAATCAGTCAATAAACCAAAACCATCACTATTTCAGTTAGCATTAAATTAATGCCCCTTTCTTCTAAATAGGAACATGTTGATTCACAATATATCCTATTTTCAATTACAAGATTTTTCATACTGATTTTCAAAACCAATATATATTTTAGACAATTAAAATTTCTTTGCTGCAGTTAACATCTACCTAATGAAAAAGACATTGTATTTTACTGACCATATTATGTTATAGATGTAATTTAATTATATATCACTTAAAATTAAAAAGCAAGTTAATTCTATAACTTAATGTTATGGTTACTTATTTTGTACACATGGCAAGTAAACAAGCAAAATGAATTTGCTGACACTGCTTTAGAACATAATCTTTGGACTTTTCACTTGGTCAAGAGCATAAGAAATTAAAGAATCTCTATATTCCACTGAAATCTCTCAAACTTCCTTTTAAATTGCTGATACCCTTAGGTATAAATGTTAACACAATCTGGATCTTTCAAGAAATATAGATAGAAGGTTTTCAGACAAAAGCCAGGATTCACACAAATTGCTCAAATTGTCCTTAAATTATTTGCTGACTGATAAGTGAAGGCATACAGCTAACCAACCATCACAGGGGAATAGCAGCAAAGCTGTACAAGTGCAAGCAATGACATCATAGCTGCCGTCCAGTCATCAAGATGTTTGTGAATTTAAGATATTTACGAATGTCTGCACTGGTGAATTACATAACTCACAACAAAATTCAGTACTGCTGCTATGCATAGCAAGCTAAGGACCACAACCAAATTGTCTACAACTTCAGAACATTGCTCACTGTCTCATAAAAGGGTAATAAACTTATTAAGGGGAAATCCACATGATAACTTATAACCTACAACTTACAACAAAATCTTGAAAATCATCAAAACTATTTGAGCAAGAGAGCAAAACACAAAAAGGACCTGCATAATAGTATGGAAATGGGAGTGTATATGTATGTGCAATAGGGGTAAGCCCACCTACATTTGCTAATGTGAAACACAAAAGGGGAAAAAAGAATGACTACAAAATCAACGAACAACAAACAGAAATACCAATACCAGTATTTAGGCATTATGAATATAATAAACTTTTTTTGTTTTACTTGTTTTGGGTCCTAGAAGATAACTCTGTCCTTTGGTATACCGACTGGTAGGTTAACAAAATAACAAAGGCACACAATCCACCAAGATAATAAAAATAACTCATGACCTAAACGTGAGGTCTGTAAATTAGAATCTGAGTCACAAAAAGTTTTTTGTTTTGTTTTGTTTTGTTTTTTTGATACCAGGGATTGAACTTGGGTCCTTGCACTTGCGAGGCAGGCGGCGGAACCACTGAGCTGGATAAAATATTTTAATAGCATGGGGGGAGCTATAAAAGTCAGGAGAGTAATAGTGAGTATAAGAATGTGTGTTAAACTAATATAAAATTCTGTATTGTACTAGTTTTAATCACCAAAAGTATTTTCAATCTATTCTCTACCCCATTTGAGTGGTTTGACTTCACTGATAATTTTGAGTCATCTATTAAATTATATTGTCCCTCTGTTCAGCTGTACTACTCCCACCCAACTCTATGACTTGGTTACTGACAATAGGTTATAGTTCAAATTTTGTAAAATATAAATAACTAGATTTCACATATTTTTAACAACTTTTCATATTTAATGCAAAAATAAAATCAAGATACTTGAAACCAGTCTGGAGAACAAATCCACAAACTCATTTAATAAAGGATGTTAGAGAGCCTGTATAGGTCCTTAGCCTAATGTTTCAGAAAGAGACAGACTCAAAGAACATTTTCTGTTACATGCTACGAAGATGTACTGCCTTACTTGCAATTGTGAGAGAAGTAGAGTGCTGTTCCTTTAACATCTGCCAAGTTTTCAAACTAGCATTCTACTTTGATACGGTCAGTATCAATTTACTTGTTTACTTTATCTTATGGAAAATTTCAAACATATGGTGTGATAAAAAACAATGATTGTTTAAATTTTTAAAATTTATAGTATTACAATAAAAGACACATTGCCATTAATCCTCAAAATACAAATGCGATTATCCTATTGTTCTTGCCATTTTCTGAAGCACATCTGGAAGCCTTCCGAAAGTTGAATGTCTTTAGTTGTACTATCATGGCTTCCTTGATGACCTCAATTAATTCAAAATATTTAACTTTCATGGTCATTTTGACTATGAAGAGCCAGAAGTTCCAGATACAGTGAGTAAAGTAGGTGAGCCATATCATGTTTTTATAAGCCTTTCTTCTGCATGCACTCAACAGCAGCATTCACTGTGGTTTTAATCAGACTTTGTAAAGATACTCATGATATAGTACTTCCAGAAATGCTTCAGAATGTGGTAAGAACAGTGGGATATGTTTGAAATAAGAGGCAGTGTTCTGAACACTTCCCTATTTCTGGAGCAATTCAAAGAGTTTAGAAGAACTTCATGCATTTCAGACATAGCCCCATTAGTGGAATAGCATCACAGAAGAAACTGGACATATCTTCAAGGGTGAGTCTACAGAAATTGACAAGGTCTCCACAGTTATGCCTTTCTTCAAGAATAGTGGGAAAAGTAAACAGGAATGAGAATCAAACATCAAAGGAATCATCACATCTTGGGCAAAGAAAAATTAATATGAAAAGATCATGGAAAATAAGCAGAGGGTCATTCTATAACCTATGATTCTGCCAGGCTTCTTTTGCCACACATCTGGCAACAAACTGGAATCATTCAGATTCAAATAGAGCTGCTTCTTCCCTTGGTTAAGATCTTAGTGAAATTCATTTCGGTAAGACAACCCCTGAGAATCTATTGCTGGAGGCCAGAAACGTGATAAACAAAATGTCTCACCTGACTTTCACATGTGTATGGATCATGTAAATAATCCTCTTGTATCTACTGAGCCTCTACATTTACCCTCTAATCCCTAGTAATGTCTCCACTGACTTCAGTCCCGCAAGCAACTTCCATAAGTCAGTTAGTGAGACCTAAGCTCTGTGAAAAGCATGGAATAAGCATTTCTCAGGTGTCTAAGCCCACAGGCTATGAGCCAAACAATATTCCCAAGAACTCAAAAACAAAACAAAACAGAGTCACTTCATCAGCCTGCACAATGTCATCCCTCTGAGGCTCAATTATAAGCATTTGGCTCTGGTAGAACTCAGGGTGCTAGACTATATTGTCTACCTTGCTCAGATGCTTGGAGGTATTGCTTTTATACTCATCTCAGAGCCAAATCTCATACTCAGCAGGGATGTTACAAAGGTTCCCCCATCTCCTCAATAGCTGCAATACTGACTGTTTTGCTCAAATAGCAACTCAGCACAATGGAGGGGTGGCTGTTCTACAAAGCTTCAGTTAAAATATATCCCCACACTGTAGTGCTTGACAAACAGTCAAAGTTGTTGTTTTAATGGCTTTGTGGGCCTTCTATATAACTACCAATTTAGCAACATATTCAAGACCTCAATGAAACTAATGCATAATATAACTCAACAATTTAAATGTTATCTTGACTTAACTTAGGATTTGAGGATTCCAGGGCTACCTATTAGGCCCAGAAATAGGGTATACATTGTACATTACTGAGGTATTGAAGTCCACTTATTGCTTCACTGTCAAACAATGGGTTATTAATCAAATACCATTGTACTCCCTTGGCCCCAAGTATGTGCATCATTAAGGCCCAAAATTGAAATTCTGGACCACTATGGCCAGCTATTCTCAAAACTCTGCTTTCTATGGATAGATACCTAGATATCCACCACAACATGCTATGCTTTCACATGTCCAAGCTCTGCTGTTTAGAACCCAAGGATAATTTAGAGCTTCTCTGAATTCTAGAACAAGATGTTTTAGGCTCATTTTTTTTTATATCCTCAAAATCTGAAACCAATTATTTCTCTAAGGAACCACAGGTCCCTTACAAGAAAACACTATTTGATATGGATGCTACAACTAGTTATTGGTACTGAGCTGTCAGTTTCTAGATCCTGTAGGTGTTTATACTAAACAATAAAAATATGATGAATAAAAAGCAACTTACAGGCAAAGGAAACAGCTTCCCGTTTACTTTTATACAGAGACTATTGGGATAGTTATCTTCTTGAGGACAACTTGTCTCTGCCAAGCAAAGTCTGTATTAGAAAAAAGAAGAAAAAGTATTAAACAGTATATGCAAACATGATATGTTTTAAAATTCAGGGCTATATGAGCAGTTAACAAGTATATAATTTCAGTAATTAAATTTCAAACTCACCTCAGTTGAACTTGAACTGTATAATCTCTCCGCCCACCTGGCAAAAAGTCCCTGTTGGAAAGAGAAATAAAATGTGTTAAGAATACACAAGATTTTACAGAACACTCTCACCAGGAAACAAGGCATTATTTGTATTTTTATTCTTACTCCTTAAAAAAATAAACACTTGCCTACCAATAACAAGCCTTTTTCAAAACACAACAATGATAATAACTCCATTTATTTAACTTTTAAGTCATGTCTTTATGGCCATTTTAAAGTATATTCTAAGAATTATGCTAATGCCACAGTCCACTCTTGTCAAGAGTCTCTTCAAAACATTCCAGTATCCTACACAACACTGACCTCTTCTAAACAACCCATACACTCCACTGATTTAAATCAAGAAACATTTAGTTTTGGCACTGGAGCATCAAACATAAATAAAATATAATATTTGCTTCAAAGGACTCATCATAGTACATAACAGATAATATATAACCAAAATAAAAATGTGTGGGGAAAAAAAAAAAGATGGTCGATGCTATAGAGGGGAAGAAGGGATTTTGTCTTTAAAGTTCAAGGGAGCTATTACAATAAATCCAATCAAATTAAAAAGCAAGGTTTATAAAGCAGTTTTTTTGTCTATTTCTCTTCAGTGGCTCTCATTAGTACAATGATACTCAAGAAAAGGAAAGGCTGAGGATCAACTAGAGATGCACATCAAAATCTTAGGTTGCTGAAAATAATTTGACAAAAGAGAAATGACATGAGATTAGCTTAGAAAGATAAAAAGCCTAGCCAGAATACAGGCTGCTATATGGAATATATGATATGGAATAAATGACTGGGAAAAAAGATGGGCAAAGCAAAATGTTGAAAATAACTGCACAAAGACTTCATGATTAGCACTACGGGATTTTTAGCATCAAAAGGAAAAATCAGAATGGGCTAGCCTAGACAACTTAGCAAAACCTGTCTCAAGATATAAAAGGGGGAGGGATATATCTCAGTGGTAGAGTTATTTTCTAACGTAAAGAGTCCTAGGTTGTGGGGGCTGGGGAGTGAGGGCTTGAAAACCATCCAGACAGAAATATCACTGAGTGATATTTCAGTATACAAACTTGCAGGATTCAATGACTAATGTTGTATGAGGCACAAAGAAATAAAGGGGTGCTTCTGGGGTGGTGCCCAGGTTTTGGAATGGCGCAGCTAGACAATTGTTGATGTTATTCCCTGAAATAAGGGAAGATACAACAAGTTACAGCATCAGTCTCCCAACCACTCAGGGAAGAGGAGACTTAGGTCAATTTCACATGCTGGAAGTAAGATTTTATAACATTTAGTCACTTGCCCAGGGACATACAGACCTAAGAGGTAGAACTAAATTCACTTTCCAGTTGGTATTATTCTTAGCAATCACATTAGCTCTAAATGTAGAGTTACATGGTCCAGGTGTAAACCATGAAAGTAACAAAGAAGAATCAACGAAGTACTTTAGCACACAAATGGGCTGTGGTCAATAAAAAGTGAGATAGTTTCAAGAAGTCTCTGTCCAGTCAGACACCAGTGCCCTCACTGTAAATGGAGAGGACAGGAGGAAAAATAACAAGCAAAAAATCTCCCTGACACCAGCTTATTTTTCAAGTTTGCCTCCTTGGTGTATGGAGTATTGTTGGGACCATAGTTTAAACACACACACACACACACACACACACACACACACACACACACACAGAACATATGCATACCAAATGAATAAATGAATGGAATAACAAAAGACAAGCAGGTTTTCGTTTTTTTTTTTTTGAGACAGGGTCTCACTATGTAGCCCAGGCTGGTCTTGAACTCACAGCAATACTCCTGCCTCAGCCACCTGATTGCTGGGGTTATAGGCGTGCGCCATCACGCCCGGCAAGACAAACAGGTTTAAGAGAAAAGGTAACTTCAATTTTGCATGTGCTGTGTTTAGTGTGCTTATGGGTCATCAAAGTAGAAGCAAAAAGTACCCTGTCCAGAGGGAGGTGTTGGTGATTTTTTTTTTTGGCCTTCAATATAAATAGAAATATTCATGGATATTACCACAAAATAGCAAGGAAAGAATTACAAGTTGATTCCCATGAATGTATAAGACAAATCAATAGGAGACTGAGAGAACAAATTAAAAATGCAGTAATACCAAATGGAAGACAAAAGTGCTGAAGTCATAAATAGAGCTGTACCCAATGATTAATTTAAACAATATGTAACAAAGTAAAAGAGTTTGAACTTGAACGTGTATAAGCCTCTATCCTAGATTTTACTGTTACAGAGAAAGATCAGGAGCTGGATGCACAGCAGCATTTTAAAATTTTGCTGCACACTGGGAGCAACCAATAATCATTGAAAACCACTGATTAGAAATGTTCAGTAGCAAGAGTGCTGGCCTAGCACGTATGAGGTTCTCAGAACCACAGAGAAGGGATGGAAAGAGGAACAGAGAAGGAGAGATAAGAAAAGGAGAGGAGAGAAAACAATAATTTGAGGTTCCATCTTTGGAGATTCTAATTACTATGGATGAAATCTGACTATTTGGATTAGAACTTTTAAAAGCTCCTCAGCTGATTTTAAGTTGCAGCCAGGTTTTTGAATCATGGGGATGGACATAAAATTAAATGACACAAGAAATCATGTAAATCCAGAATATTTAATATGCTAAAGTTGAAGGGAACCAGATCTCCATGGAGAAGTGATCAACTCTACAAAATATGTGAGATAACCTCTGACAAAATATGTGTCAGAAAGTAAAAAAGTGCTCCAAAGTGAATTTGGGAGGGAAAGGACTATCAAAAGGCCATAAGAGTCAAAATAAAAGAACCCCAAATAGCCCAAAGTAGAACAATTTGACCCACAATGTAAATTCCTATATCACTGGGTAACCTACAGAACACATGAATCCTCACTGATGCAAATGTATAAGTGAACAAATATAGAAGGGAGAATTCTTCCTTACAAAAGAATTGCACCAATGTAAAAATAAGAACAACATCACCAAAATACAAATGTTTTGCTCATTTACCAGTGAATGCTGAACTACTGGGCAAAAGTTTGAGAAGAAATAGATTTATGTGCCTAATCTAAATGTGTGTGCTCTACAATGTTTATAAATAAAGAAAAAGTCAGTAACTTTATAGCACAGAAATCAGGCAGACAACACCTTAAGCCAAATGATCATGGTTAGTACCACCCCCCGCCCCCCCAAAAAAAAAAGAAAAAGAAAGGAAGAAAATCAATATTAATGGCTGACATACACTGAGAAGAGCATTTTTGCAAAAAATGCACAGACATTCAAATACTAGATATACCAGAACTGAGTAGCAGTCTACATAAAATCCCTGGTCACTACCCTTCAAAATTGTCAAAAATCATAAAAAGAAAAACTAAGACAATGTCATTGAGTAAAAGGAAATTAGAATGACATTACAATTTAAAGAACATGGTATAGGATTGCACTAACGTTAGCTTCTTGGTTTTGATAACCGTATTATAGTTACTCAAGCTATTAAGGGAAGCTAGACTAAGGGTAATTTTCTACAATTTATCTATAAATCAAATCAATTTAAAATAGTTAAAACTTTTAGGATACACTGAGGTCAAAAGTAACAAATGCAGTTCAAGTGTGGTGGTACATGCTTGTAATCCCACCATTCAGGAGAGTGTGGCAGGATTATTGTGAGTTCAAGGCCAGCTTGAGCTATATAATAAATTTAAGCCAAGATGAACTACACAGTGAGACCCTTTCTCAAAAAACAAAACACAGCACAGCAAAATAAAAAAAGGTAACACATGAGATGAGCCTTGTATAAAAACTGAAATAAATGAAAAAATAAGGATATGGCTGAATACTATATGAAGAAACTATGAATTTCTAAGGGTTCATGTTAAACATTAGAGTTGCAGGCCAGGATTTAGATCAGTGGTGCTGTACACCTGCATTCCAAATGCAAGGTTATGAGTTTGAGCACCAGTAGCCCCCCGACCCCCAAAAAGGAGTTGCATCTTGAAGTATTTCTGGGTTAAATTATACAATGCCTATTTGCTTTAATATGCTGGGGGGGGCGGGACTATCAAATACAGAGGGTCAAACTGTCAGTAACTACTGAAGCTAGATAATGGGCATCAAACTTTCATTTGCATTTATTAGGATTAGGAGGGAATTTTTAACCACTTGATCACATAACTCTAAAACAGTAGAGGTTTGTACTGCAGACATGTACAAAGGGAGCATAACTTTGCAGATTTAAAAAAAAAAAAACTTTATGTTGGGTTAAATATACATAAGACAAACTTTATCATTATAATCATTTTTAAATGTTCAAGTCTGTGAAATTAAGTACATACATACTATTGTGCAACTATCGCTACCATCCATATCCAGAACATGATTACACTTTTTAAAAAATATTTAAATTTTGATAGTTACTTGACTAGAAAAATACATTCACATATTTTGAACTTTAAAAATGTTAAAAAGGATATTGAGTGAAGCATCCCCCTAACTTGGCTCCTAGAAGCAAATTCGCCTTTCTAGAAGCAACTCATCTTTATATTTACTGTATTTGTAGTTGGGTGTGGTGGCAAATGCCTATAATCCCAGCTAGTACAAAGATTAAGGCAGGAGGATCTCAAGCTCAAAATCAGTCTCTGAGCAACCTAATGAGATCCTGTCTCAAAATAAAATACCAAAGGCAGGTGATCCAGCTCAGCATAAACCACTTGCTTAGCACAGACAAGGCTCTGGGTTTAATCCTTAGAACTACAAAAACCACACAGACAAAAAACTTTAATCACATATTTATATACTTCAGCACATTCAGTGTGTGCATGAATACCTTTTTTAAGACAATTGGTAGAGTATTGTTCATAATTCTCTCACTTCCCTCCTTTAATTTTCATTTTTAAAATGCTTAAGTTAACAATGATCTCTCTCCTATAAAAATCAATTGTCATTAATGAATTGGCTCACCATATAACATCTTGTAATACAATTTATGTAAATAAGCTGGTTCATTTAATAATACTATAAGCAACTTGTAGAAAGGGTTCTTGCCAAAAGGTACAAGATTCCAATGATAAATTTAACTGAATTGTTTGTTTTAAATGTACCACTAAACTTAATGGAAAAAAAGGGTTTGTTTGTTTTTTTTTGCCATACAACAGTGCCATGTACTGAATAATCTCAAGCAAGAATTCAATGATGAAAAACAAAATTAAGGACAACAAATATGATTTGTTGGATATAAAACATAATTTTTTCTATTTTATTAGTTGGTTTATTACTACCCCTAAAATAGCCAAAAGCCTTATCTATGTATGCACTATTCTTTCACAGTTCAGTCTTCACAGGGTCACATTATAAAGCCATTTTGAGATTTTTACTGAGACCTATAATTTTAATAAGAGATGTGATTAGCCAAAATATCTAAAGGTACATATCAGAATTTTCTACATAACAACAGTGCATGTTCAAGATATTAACTATTCAAAAAAATTATGTGGTCCACAAATCTGGATCCACTAACTTAGGTGACTGACAATGTGTACCTACATATAAAAACTAATAAAATGTACCTATAAACGTCTTGCTTAAAAAAAATTAATAGCAGGTTGTAAAGAACTTATACAATTATGTTAAATATAGAAATTTCCCCATATCAACCATAACATCTTTATTTTAAAAAAGCTCAGTGAGCCAGGCATGGTGGCTCACGCCTGTAATCCCAGCACTCAGGAGGCTGAGGCAGGAGGATTGTTGTGAGTTTGAGACCAGCTTGGGCTAAATAGTGAGTTCCAGGTCAGTCTCAACTACATAGTGAGACCCTGTCTCCAAAAAAAAAAAAAAAAAAAAAAAAAAAACACCACACAAAACAAAACACAACTCAACAATTCAAAGGAGGATTCTAAAGAATAGCTAAAAGAAACTAATTTATTTAACTCTTTTCTTTTAACTCTACAACCCTAGAAAATCATTTAACCTATGAGAATCTCAGTTGTCATACAGTAAATCTTGTAAGGAGGCAATTTTAAAGAGCTATATAAATAACGTATTGGTAACACCAAAACAGACTATTTTTATTTGAAAAACTATACTCTACAAATTTCCTTTTCTCTTAGTTCATTTGCTCTTTACAAATGTGCCAACTTAAGATTCTTCTATTTTTGCCCCTGAAATTGACAAGGCCGGCAGTATTTTCATAATCAGATTTCTAATAATTTTTTGATCAGAGTAACTATACAACTCATTTTGTCCCAAACTGTTCTGGTTTTTGTTCTCCAAAAAGCATTTTAATAATGTTCACTGACACTTTCAAAAAGGCCTGAGTTTGAAATGATAACGTTCATGACCACTTATCTTTGTGCTGCTATCATAAATTCTTTTTTTGTTTCTATATTTAGAATAAATTTTTCATTTAAAATATTATTGCGCTGCCAGGGATTTAGCTCAGTGATTGCATTGCCTGCCTCATAAGCACAAGATCCAGAGTTCAATCTCCGGTACCAAAATAAATAAATTAAAAAAAAAAAAAAGGATCCCTGGTACCAAAAAAATTATTGTTCAGCTAAGAATATAACTTAGTGGTAAAGTACTAGCCTAGGATACACAAACCATTCAAGGTCCTGGGTTTATCTCCAGCAATGAAAAAAAAAAAAATCAAATATATATACCCCTTCCAAATATAATTAAAATAATTTCAAAAGATATCCTGAGGTTTTTATCCAAAGGTTAAATTTTTCTAGTACACAGTATTAAGGAGAAATATTCCAACTGTTATGGACAGAACAAAATTTATTATGTTGAAATCTTAACCTCCAATGTGACTGTACTTGGATATAGGACCTTTAAAAAGGCAATTACGATTAAATGAAGTTTAGGATAGGTACCTAATCCAATATACCTGGTGTCATAAGAGGAAAAGGACAACAAGGATGCAATGACATAGAGGAAAGTCCATCTGAGAAAACAGCAAAATGTGCAAGCCAAAGACAAAGGCCTTAGGAGAAAATAAATCTGTCACAATCTGATCTTGAACAGAAGCTTCTAGAATTTTGAGAAATAAATTTCTGCTATTTAAGCCATCTTGTCCTTGGTTTTCTACTAATACTAAACATTCATGCAGAAACATTCCAAACATTCCTCTTACCTCGATATGCATATTTCTCTAACTTGTTGTGGTGTCAAAGCAAAAATAAAAAACTTCTCTTGAAATCGTTGAATACTGCTTTGAACTGGAGAGGAAAAGGAAAGAATATTTCAACAATAAATCCAAGGATCCTACCACTTGCAATAACCAGATATTTTGATAAGTATCTTTCAAACTCCAAAACGTTTGTGGTTAAAATACTCTAAAATGAAGAAGTATTAAATTGCATTCATCTTGGAATTATCAACCCAAATGGGTATCTTGAATTTTAAGCATTTAAACAATCTTTACTCTAAAGCACTGGATTATAAAAGTCAAAATGTAGCAAAACCTTTCAAGATTACATTTCATTCTTTATAGTAGCATCTAATGAAAATTTCCTGGGTAAAAAGTAGTTTATTGCAGCAATTATGCTCCAGGAAGTCATATATAAAGTGGTTCACAATGTCAGAGTACTTTTAAAAGGAAGGGAAAAAGGGATACTGCTTATTAGGAAGGTCTAAAAAACAGTTTCTTGATTACAAATACAACTATAAGGTATAAAGCACAAAGACACAAGTATATCAATATATTTCTCTACTTTGTAACACTGCTATTCACTTTTCCATTTTTATTTTCTTCTATGGATTTCACTGTCCATTATCACAGCAAAGGTCACCAAACTCAATAACCTGTATTTTGAGATTACATGTACACATATTACATTTTCAACCTTAGTTAATGGCAAAAGAATCCAGTTTCTCCAGCCTGAAGCCTCAAAAAATCTAACGTGAGTACAAATGGAGTCCCAAAAGGAAAATAAAGTGAAAATGAAACCATTCTCCCAAAATTGCAACACACTAGCAGAAGTAATTTTGGTTGAATGGAAGGAATGAGCAAACCTCAAGGAAAATAACACAAAGAAAACTATTAGTTGCATCAAAATTAAAACTACTAAAAGTTAACAACCGTGAAATCTTAAAATAGCCAGAGAAAAACAAAACATCAATGGCTGTCTTGTCATCAAGAAGGAATGCTGGGAAAACATCATCTTTAAAGTGGTAGGGCACATCTCTGAATCCCACTCAGGAGGCTGAAGCAGGAGGACTACCATGAGTTTGATGCCAGCCTGAGCTACACAATGAGTTCAAGGATAGCCTGAACTGCATATAGCAAGACCCTATCTTAAAATATATAAATAAATAAATTAATAATAATACTAATAATAATAAAGGCTGGGGATCTTGCTCAGGGTGAAGGCCCCGGGTTTAATCCCTAGTACTGGGGAAAAAAAGTGATGAAAGAAAGAACTGTCTACTGAAAATTTAGTATCTTTCAAAGAGTGAAGTAACTTCAGGTAAAGAAAAACAACTAGTCGACAGCAGACATGCATTACAAGAAACAAAAGAAAACTAGATTTAAGATAACACAGATTTTACTTTCCTTTTTTTTTTTGAGACAGGGTCTTGCTATGTAGTTCAGGCTGTCCTTAAACTCACTATGTAGCCCAGGCCAGCTCTGAACTTGCAGCATACCCCTGCCTCAGGCTCCCAAAGTGCTGGGATTACAGCTATGCACCACAATGCTCAGCAATTCTACTTTATAAAAATCACAAACATTAAATGGTAAATATAAGATAGTAAGCTGTTTTTTACTTACTTTTTGGATTTCCTCGAAAAGATAACTAATTGTTTAAAGCAAAAGTATTGGCAGTAGGGCCAGGGATTTAGCTCAGTGGTGCTGTCACCTGCCTCACAAGCACAAGGACCTGAGTTCAATCCCCAGCACAAAAAAAAAAAAAAAAGTAATGGCACTAGAAGGCAGGAGTTAAAATTGGCAGACAAAATGATATGACAAGCACCAAAAGGACAGAGGTAGATAAAAGGTAGTGAAATAAAATCAATCTCTCCAAGAGCTGTGTTTCCTGCTTCACTTGATAAGCTTGATTAAAATAAGGTGTAGGGAAGGTGGTATGGGTAGGGAAGGGTAATAAGGGAAAAGAAAAAAATGTGAGAAAATGAAAAGATGGAAATAAAGTGTTTGTAAATGGGGAGGGAAGGAGGGGAGTGAAGGGAGGGCAGGGACAAGGGGAAAAAATGAGAACCAAGGCCTGTCATGTAGAGGTACAAGATCCCAACAATTAATGTGACTATACTGTATCCCTAAAATGTACCAATAAACTCAATTTTAAAATAAATAAATAAATAAATAAATAAGTCTCTCCAAAAGCAGATCTAACAAGTATGCCAAAAACAGCTAGTATTTACACTTACAATACTGGGCATAATAACCTCTGTGAATTTACCAGTTTAAATGCCAGCACTTAAGGCCATCTGGATGACTTCAGTTAACCTAAGAGTCATGCATCTTAATATCTAAAAATAGAATGTTTCTGTCATTGTATGAAACATGAATGTACAATTTTTAGAACTTATAGATTGACCTTTATAGATTATATCATAACAGACATATATGTGCTTTTATTTTTCTGGTATAATTTTGGCTTTAATTACTATCACTTTGCTACCAAATTTTCTATCCAAACTAAAACCTCCCTGGTTTTATGAAAAAATGAAATGTTTCACTATGTATCAGAAATGAACTCCAAGACGTTACAGCAACAAAAATATAGTGCATATGCAAATAAAATCTACTCTGCATTGATGTTAACGTTTTTAGACAAACCTTATGATAGAGCGGCAGCCAAAAGCTCACTAAACATTTTAATGCACATCATGAGAAAAAATGACAGAACATGTAGGCTTTGCAGATTATTTTCTCCCTATTAGTGTCTAAAATTTGTAATCAGAAAACCAATTCTGTTGCATTTTGGGCATTCATCTCCAAAAGGTTCGCCACCACTGTTCTATTCTATTCCACTCACTGACTCACATACTTGTTTTTGTGTTGGTACCATGCTGTTTTCATCACAGTAGTAGTTGTGGTATAACTTTGAATCTGAGATTGTGATGCTTCCTGCTTTACTTTTGTTACATAGGACTGCTTTTGCTATTCTGAATCTCTTCTGGTTCTATATGAATTTTAGGATAGTTTTCTCTAGATCTGTGAGAAATATCTTTCGTATTCTGCTTGGGATTATATAAAACAAATTTTTCAGTTTTGGAAGTATAGCTATTTTGATTCCATTGGTTCTGACAATCCAGGAACAGAGGATATCTTTCCATTTCCTCATGTCCACTTCCTTTTTCAGAGTGGTATGAAATTTTCATTGTATTCACTTCTTTGGTTAGGTTATTTCCTAAGTATTTAATTTTTCTTGATGCCACTGTGAACGGTATTGTTACTGATTTTTGTGTTTATGTCCTGCTATAATGCTAAATTTGGTTACTAATTCGAGAAGTCTCATTGGAAGTCTCTGCTAATGATACTTTGTCTGTGTCCTTTCCTATTCTGTATCCCTTTTATTTCTCTTGCCTGACTGCTCTAATATTCCAAGGACAATGTTGAAAAGGAGTGGTGACAGTGGACACCCCTCCCCTGTTACGTTCCTGATTTTGGAGGGAAAGTTTTCTGGTTTTCCCCATTTAATGTGATGTTAGCAGAAGGCTGGTCATAAATGGTTTTTATCAGATTGAGATAAGATCCATTATACCTATTGTCTTCAAGGTTTTTAATCATGAATGGAGGCCAGACTTTGTCAAAGGCTTTTTCTGAGTCTATTGAAATGATCTTTTTTCTTGCTTCTATTTATGTGATGAATTACATTTACTGATTTGTGTACGTTGAATGAACCTTACATACCTAGTTGGTTACAGTGTGATCTTTTTGATGATCTGTTGCCATTTTGTTTGACAGTATCGTGTTCAAAATTTTTGCATCTATGTTCATTAGGGAGATTGGCCTATAGTTCTGTTTTTCAGTTGGATCCTTGTCCAATTTTGAGATCAGGGTAATGTTAGCTTCCAAGAATCATTTTGGGAGGAGTACTCCTTCCCTCTCAATTTCATTAAACAGTTTAAAGAATATAGGTGTTAGATCTTCCCTAACATTCTTATACAATCTGACAGGAATCCATCAGGGTAGATTTTTGTATTTCTGCTTCAATTTCATTGCCTGTTACTAGATTATTCAACATTTTTAAGTCTTCTTGGTTCAGTTTTGGTAGTTTATATGTATCTAGCATCTCTTCCTCCAAGTTCTCCAATTTTTTTGATGTACAATAACCCATTTTTAATAACTTGTTTCTTAATGTATAGAATAACAGAAGTCATCACTGTATTAATAACCACTGCAAAGACCATGTAAGGAGGTCAGAGTACTGAGTTATCATAAAATCGTTATTTTAACACACTCATGTCCACTAAAACTACTGAAGGTACATGCCTAAATGTTCCACTGGGTGGCTTGCACCACTTGTGACAGAAGTGGCATAGTCACACATATATCACCAGAGGTTCAAGTCTTGTAGCAATGAGACATATGAATAATGGCCCTATCGTGAACACATAAATTCTTAATTATGAAAGAGAAAAATACTGTCAACCCTCCAAAATTATTCATTCTCTTTACTTCAGTCCTCTTTCCCCACATTTGCAGTCACTCAGGATGTCTTGTTTTCTACCATCTTACCTACTTGCTTCCTCTCCATGCTCACTGATGCCACCCTACTCAAAGCCTATTAACTACCTTCTACAAATGAAACAGCAGCCCTACCTCTCTGCCAATCTCCATAAGAACACAAGTGGGAAGTTAAGTCACTCTAAGCATCACTTCAATCACCATTCCTGCTTAAAAGACTCAAGAGTGTTCTATTTTTGAATGGGCCAATTTCTTTACTGCATAATCCTCCATTAATAAAGATCTTCCTGCTTTTTCCTAACAAACCTATGTTTCTCAAATCTTCCCAGGTCTTACTCTATTCCAAGCAGTTTCTTCACTGCTAAGTCTCACAATTAGCCACTACTACTTCTACTTCTGTGCTGCCAGTTCTCCCCTTTCCTGGTATTTCTTATCCAATAAAGTTTACCATCCAAAGCTATCAAGTCACCATACAAGAAGCCCTGACTGAATTTCCCATTCACAACAGCAATGTATCTAAGCACAATTTATAATACTTCATCTTTCAAGCATATAACCACTTGCAGC